ATAAGTTTACCAAACTCACGATCTCACTCCAAATCACTAAATCCATTCAATTCTTCATCCTCCGTGTCAATTCTGCGTGACCTCCGGAGATAAAACATAGATTCATGAGGTACACAGAGCGCCGCTTCCTCTTCTGTGTCGCTGTTGTCAGACTCAGCATCAGTTCCAGTTAGAATTATTCTGGTCTTTCTGAATCCCCACAGGATGGTTTCGGTGTCACTGAAGTCCAGGCTTTGTCCATCTATTCAATGACTTCCAGGAAAGTTTCATGGTGCATCCTCCTGGTTCTTGTGACGCTGTGTTCCACCACCAGTCCCTCACAAGTTTCTCACTCACTCCAAACTTTCTTTCTGCTGCTCAATTACCGTTTTCACCTGAATATTTCACTATTTGCAGCAGAACAGCAGCTTTTTCTACAGGAGACATGCGCAGTAGAGTGAAGTGACAGTGGTACAGGAGGAACAGATACTGACACACGAGCCTAGAGCCTCTCGCGGCTGTCAGTCTGAAAATGTTAATATATAAGTCGCACTGGAGTATTAGTCGCAGGAAACACCCAAACCATGAAAAAAAGCACAACTTATAGTCCAAAAAATATGTTAAGTTTTAAAATCTTGGCCAGATCATAGAAATTTGTGCACAGTAATGATGCAATTTTATCCTTGGAATAAACACAACCAAACTAGAAAAAGCTATTATTTTAGTCTGTTTTTTTAGCTAAAAGTTACATATTGTGGCTTTAATTTCTTTCTATACAGCCTCAAAGATGACCACATTAAAGTAAATACACGTTACTTAAAGATATAGCAGGAGAGTATTTCACAATCCGGAGTCAGATGTGATATGCAGCCTGAGTTTGGGAGGTTCTTGGAGACTGGACTTGGTTGGTGGGGCCGAGGAGGTTCAGATTTTATTGGTCTGTGCGTATCTATAAAAGTGCACCGGTTTTTCACTGCTTTTCCTGGAAGTCCACATGTGCTCCACAGCTCAGCTCACATAATGCTCCCTCTTATGTAACTTCACCAGGAGGCCCCAAGTCTGAAGGACCAGCCGCCGCATCTCATAGAATACATAGAAACAAGGGCTGAACCAGGGACTAAACCAGGACTAAACCAGGACTAAGACCACTGCTAAACCAGGACTAAACCAGGACTAAACCAGGACTAAGACCACTGCTAAACCAGGACTAAACCAGGACTAAACCAGGACTAAACCAGGACTAAACCAGGACTAAACCAGGACTAAACCAGGACTAAACCAGGACTAAACCAGGACTAAGACCACTGCTAAACCAGGACTAAACCAGGACTAAACCAGGACTAAACCAGGACTAAGACCACTGCTAAACCAGGACTAAACCAGAACTAAACCAGAGGCTATACCAGGACTAAATCAGGGCTAAACCAGGACAAAACCAGGGCTAAACCAGGACTAAACCAGGTCTAAATGAGGACTAAACCAGGACTAAACCAAGGCCAAACTAGGGACTAAACCAGGCCTAAACTGGGTCTAAAACCAGAGACTAAACCACTGTTAAACCAGGACTAAACCAGGACTAAACCAGGGACTGAACAAGGGACTGAACCAGGGACTAAACCAGGTCTAAACCAGGACTAACCAGGTCTAAACCAGGACTACACCAGGACTAAACCAGGACTGAACCAGGACTGAACCAGGACTAAACCAGGGCCAAACTAGGGATTAAACCAGGCCAAAACTGGGTCTAAACCAGGGACTAAACCACTGCTAAACCAGGACTAAACCAGGGCTAAACCAGGATTAAACCAGGTCTAAATCAGGACTAAACCAGGCCTAAAACAGGACTAAAGGGAGACTAAAACAAGTCTTAACTAGGTGTAAATCAGCACTAAAACAGGTCTAAACCAGAACTAAACCAGAAATAAAATGAGTCTAAACTAGATGTAAACAAGGATTAAACCAGGGCTCAAACAGGTCTAACCCAGGGCTTAATGGTCCTGTATGATAGACTTTTATTTTAAATGCATAAACCTGACCTAAGTGAACCTCCAGACACAAATGAACCATGTTCAGATCAAATCTAGCTTTTACTGGCAGCAATTCTAACACTTTTTTTGGTTCTCAAGATCCAATCAGAAAGCAGAACAAGCCTCACACGGCTCTCTCATTTGGGTTGCAGTTGCAGCGGTTGCGGGTTCAAGGCTGAAATCCAGTTGGTTTAAACCTAAAATGTCTCTCTCTGATATGAATGGTCTCTACCTAAACCCCAGCACCTGCAGCATCATGAGTCAGTGCTAGTGCAGCCTCTGCAGCTCAGGGAGGGAATTCCGGTGGTTCTGAGCTTCACATGAGACATATTCATAAACTGAGACTGAGACAAACATGCATGTGTCTGTATCTGCAGGTGAAGACTCTGGAGATGCAGGTTCAGTTGTGTTTGTAACAAGATCTCCTTTAAGAGAACCTAAACTAGTTGTAAAGTATGTGCACAGAACAGACTGCACCAGGTCCAAAGCTGATGTTTAACCTAGACCAAAATATCAATGAATGAGGACTATAGCAGGTCTAAACCAGGATTTAAGCACGAATGAGCTCTAAACCAGGACTTAAACCAGATCTAAACCAGGTCTGAACCAGGAATAAGGAAATGGCCCACCACCTGTGTGTCTCCATGGAGATTTTCTTTTGCCTGGTGTGTTTCAGATTTAGATTGAGAAAACTTCCCAGAGGGTAATTCATTTGCAGCATTCTCACAGCAGTTCTCACTTCTCACTTACACACAAACACACACAGCGAGTCTGTTACGGTCCACAAGTGAAACTCAGTACAACAATGCACATATTACAATGAAAACTTCAAAACACATTACCATCATAATTAAGAAATTTAACAGAAGAAGGCAGAAAAGAATTAGAGAAGCGGTTTGTCTGTTACTGGAGCAGAAAACTGACATCCTGAAGACATCATGCTGCTCTTGTTTAATAATGCTTTCAATATTTAGCTCAAATCTCAGTTTATTGTCAGTCACGGAGCCCAGATATTTGTAACTATTGACAATTTCAACATGAACACTGTGGAAATGTGCACGTCTTAAATCAATCACCATGTCCTTAGTTTTGGCAGCGTTCGAATCCAGGTAATTGTCTTCGCACCACTGAACAAACTGTCCCAGCTCAGGGCCATAGTTTATCTCAGATCCTGAAAGTAGCAACAACAGGATCGTGTCATCGGAAAATTAGATCAGGAATTTGTTTTCCTCTGAGGATGTGCAGCTGTCCGTGTACAAAATAAAAAGGAGAGGCGACAAGACACAACCCTGAGGAGATCTGGTGTTAGAGATGGAAGGGGCTGCGTTTTGTTAAAAGCAGAAGAAAAGTTTCGCAAATACTATGTTCCACAGTACGGCATTACACTTACCCTTCTTGCATTTATTCAGTTAGAACAATAGTTTACCCAGTGGCATCAGCTCCTCCTCTCCATGGCGACAGATAAGCTCTACTGTGTAACATTCCCGTGTATAGTAGTATCTTGGTGTGATCGTGTTTAGTCTGGCAGTCCTTGAAGTGTTCTCGATATGTGACTGTGTGTGGTGCAGCAGATGTCCAGATGAGGAGCAGCTGGTGTTGACAGCTCAAACACAGAGCGGTGGTGCGTTCAGGGTCGTCAGGACACGAGCACGCTCCCACAGCACAACGCACACTTCGCACTCCCCTGTGTCCGCACAAACACACACACACAGCACACACTTCACGCTCTACACTGTTCACACACACACTTCCCACTCCCCAGTGTCCACACAAACGAGCCTCGAGAGACGAGCTCTGTGGCAGGAGACTCACCGTTCAGGAGCTGGAGAAGCTGAGATGAAAGACCAGCTATTAAGAACTATGGAGAATTACTGAACAGTTTTGGAGCTTTGTTGTGGTTTTCTACATGTACAGTAAGTCGAAAGAATTTGGGATTTCTCTGATTATTACTGCAAGTTTATGTTTTCAAGTAGTAAAAATCAGAAGACTGAAAAGCTTTGTAGAAGTCGGTTAACTTAAAGCCATAGTATGTGTGAATCAAAAACATGTGTTCTAACTGTGAGGGCGCTTGCATCTCCACAAACATGACCTTATTTAGCCTGGAGAAGCGTCTCCGCCTGTTGTTTTCTTGGAAATGCTGTTCCATAATCTTCCTCAGCGTGGAATAAAATGTGTACATTCCATTGAGTATGTTCCAAAGTGTGGTTTTAATTGTGTGTCTCCATGGAAGTATGAAAGTGACGCCACCACCAGAAAGTTCCATACTGTGAGAGTCAAGACTGACACTGTAAATACTGACCTTAAAAATAGGGGTGTGCAAAAATATCGGAATATCGATATATCTTATCGTTTAATGTGATGATACAGTATCGATATCGTGGGCTGCTGTATCGATATATCACCAAGAGTATTTTTACGTGTGTTTTACTAAATTATTTTGTTACAGAGCTACAGTTTTGTCGCTTGTTTAGTGAAAGGAAACTCATTTATGCAACACATTTGACATTTTGACATTGTTGTGAGGATTGAAATGTTTGTGTTTCATATGAACTTTGCACTAGAAGTGGTTTAACAAACACTTTTAGTATCACAGCCATGATTTAGCCTTTATTTTTTATTGAACTGTATGGAATTGATTTGAAATATATCTTATCAAATCAAAAGTGGACTGTATCGAGATATGTATCGTACCGTGGCCTGTGTATCGAGGTATGTATCGTATCGGTAACTTCTTAATGATACCCAGCCCTACTTAAAAAAGTGTTTTTTTTCTGTGATGTTCCTCTTTTATTATACAAAAAAGACTTTTTGGTGAAGGGTTCCCCACCTGCTGTCATAGAGCTGTCACTGACATATGTCACTGACCTGTTCACAGTAGTAAAACTGTAAAAGTGTTTTTAAGGGATTTTTAAACAAACATGTGATTGGATAAAGCCAAGATCGTTAAAGACCATTTTTTGCGTTGTTACTGATGATGTCATGTTTGTGTGCCAGGGTCTGGGGCGTGGATCCAAGCAGGCGTTCCCGTCTCTGGGCACGTTCATCTCCACTCTGAGCCAACGCCGCGAAGCAGGAGGGCGGGGCTTATCCACCGTGAGCGGGATGACCAACAGCCTGGGACTTCGACACGGTAAGGACCATTTACATCAGGCTGTGTGTGTTCTCTTTATAACCGGTTTACTGAGCGGTGTTGCTGTAGTGTGTATGAGCGTGTTACTTGGTGCTGAGTGATGTGATTGGTTGATCCACTAACTGCCAGTCAAAGGTTTAGACACACTTTTTTGTTTACATTTCTTCTTTATGTCCACAAATATTTACATTGCGCATTCTCACCGAAAGCATCAAAACTATGAATGACACATATGGAAACAAAAAATAAACTCTAAATAACTTGTTTTAGTTCTTAGTTAAAAATAGCCACCCTTTGTTTTGAACTCTGGCTTGAACTCCATGCTGCTCTTCCGACATGTCGCTATTCAGACACTGACATCTAAATATCAGCGTGGTTTCATTATTTTTCAAGCGTCCCACTACTTCGACATTTTTTTTTGTCATTGTCAGAGTTGTGGCATTTTCTGACATGAATAATATGAATGTGATCACCTATTGTACTTTGGGTTCCCATACATCCGGTGGAAAGCACAGAGAATACTTTGGCCACATAATTTAAAGTTTAAAGGGTTTAAAGTGCCATGGTTCCAAAGTGCTTGTAGTGCATAAAGGGCAAAGTGCTGTGGTTGACCAGGGCATGGGATGGTTTGCTAAGCGAGCATGGACTACAAATATTTGTCATTATAAAGTTGGTATTGTGTGTGTCGGTTTTGTGTGTGACTTGATACTTGTTGAGCTCATCGAAGAACAGGGAGGGACACGCCTGGGTAAGACTATCATGACTCTTGTGAGTTGACAATATGACAATAGCAATACTAAAAAGTGGAAAACCGGTGTGGTATAGGATTTTGACCCTGCGGTGAGGTGACCCCGGGGTCAATATACCATATAGTATTTTGACCCCGGGGTCAGAATCTTATTCTGGTATGTTGACCCCCTATAGAATATTAACCCCCCTATGAAAATCTATATTTTATTAATAAAGAACTTGAATTCTATAGAAAAATTTGAATATTAAGTACTAGGGATGGGCATTTGATTAAATTTTCTTAATCGATCGTCGGGAGAATTAACGATCGATTATTGATTTATCATTAACGTTTTTATATTAAAATGATCATCATTATTATTACTATCTGCACTACTAATCTGCAGAAATTAATTCAACTTTACGACATATAAACCGTAACCACTCTAGAGCCACATCAGCCCGTTTGACATTATAATGTGTTTAATTCAGATTTGTACAAGTGTCACAGAAACAAAACTTAAAACCACATGACTCATTTGCATAAACTAAGCAAAGAAAAAAAAAACAGCTCTTGTGTCGCTGATGCGATTCAACTTCTGTTGGATTAAAGGACATGACTCAGTGGAATACAGGTTAGTGTGACCAGATTTGCGTTTGTCAAAACTAGAACACTGTACATCGACATTGAGCGACTCTCACCTGGCAAAGCTTTTTCATGTTTTTCAGTGTCCTGTTGAGCTTTTTCCCACTGGACACTGAAGCATATGTTCCTGCTTTGTACACTGTGCACATGGCCTCCCACTTATCCCGACCGGAACGGAAAGCGTAGAATTTCTTGTACAAGTCATCGTTAAATGCGCATTTGTGCTTCGGCGTGTTGCAGACTGACAGACTGTCTGTGTCTGCTCGCTCCTTCTGAGTGCAGAGAGACACATGTCCGGACCCCCGTTTGTCCCCGGACATGGACGTTTGGTCACCCTACGCTACGCACAGCAACCTACATTCGGTTTGTCAATTAAAAATGTAATCAATTAAATTCTTAATGATCAGTTATCGATTAATCGACTAATCATGCCCATTCCTAATTAATACTATATCTGCAAATTAAAACATACTGACATATTTAAAAGTGTTTTTTGAAGAACTCAGAAGATTTTTTTATGTTGATTATAACTTTTAAATGTTAAAAATGACTTAGTTGTTTAAACACGTTTTACTGAAATTAATGAGTTAGGTAATCAAAGTGATGTGTAATGATTTGGAATCTTGTTCAAATAGACAGAGCTGATCAATAGAGCAGGGTCTGGTCAAGTGGTAACGGAGGGAAACGGGCAGATTTTTGACATTCAAATGTCTCTTATTCAGAAACTAGAGGGACTATTGAAATAAGTAAAGTATCAGAATGTAGGAAAGAGTTACACTCCAACAGGGTCAAGTTAAACCTGTGATATTCTTTCAAGTTGTTGACAAAAATTTTAAAAACTCATGTCGGTAACGGAGGGAATGAAATATGCAGCACTTTTTGGTCAATAAATCCAAACAGTGATAACTCTTGGTTCTCACTTCCATATCCTTAACAAACTGGTTTGAATATTTGCTTCATATAGTTTTCTACCATATGGTACAAGATTAGGTTGAAAAACCTCTTACTTTTTGAGTCATGAGATTTTTTATTAAGAAAGGTCATGGTAACAGAAGGAAAAGTAACAGAGGGAAAATTGTACAAACAAGTAGAAGGTGCAGGATTTTTGCATAATTTGTCAGCTTTTTTCTTCCAAATACTTTAATATTACTTCAAAATGAAAGGAAACTATTTCTATAAAATGTCAGTCCTTCCAAGCAAATTTTTATCATTTTAAATTTTTTTTTTTGAAAAATCATGTACCTTCATCAACAGTTCAAAGATGGAATAACCCAAGATATGATGAAATACATCCATTTATTTGGGAAATCATTTTTGTTCCATGTTTCATACATGGTCTGTTTAAAACGTATGTAACTTTAGAACCAAAAATGGTACAGAAAAAAGGTCAACAGTTTCATAAACTAGAGTACATATGTATCTGTTCAATACATTTTTATATCAGATGAATTAACTTGAATTTTTGGCCTTGTTGTTTACTTCTGCTTGACTGAGCCCAGAAGTTAAATAGATGATAGGAGAAGATTTGTTAAATGGTTTCTGTCATCAATAACTTCACTTAAAATTACATGTGTTTAAAGTCTTTGTAAAATACAGTATAAAAAGTGACAAGATTGTTATGTATATGCAATTTTAACAATAGTGTGTTACATTTACACAAAATACCAAGTCATTCTCCATCAAAACATTCCTTAAAATACCTTAAAAGAAAGTGAATATGTAGAAATGTATAATATATAAGTAAACTACATGAGAAATAATGATCATATAAGTAACTACTAAAGAAAAAACCCCGGGGTCAAAATACTATGGGGTCAAAATTCTATCTCACACCGGAACGACTAAATAGAGGCGTTTATCACAACAGATGTGAAAGGGGGGAGCAGTGAAGACCTCAGAGGGACAGAACCACAGACACATTTCTGTTAATCCCTCTCTCCATTCGTCCCGTCTCGGCCTTTCCTCAGCGCTCGCACCTGCTTCCTCCTGGTGCGCAGTTAAACTCACATGTCTGTCCGCACTTTACACACAGATAGTAGTGAGTTTACAAGCTCCAAATAATCCATCTAAAACCACTCACATTAAAAACCACCGAGCAGGGCTGTGTTTTGAGCCAGAGTTAAAGGTGAAGCTCCCAAATGAACCAAAACAAATAAACGTTTGACTCCGTCGCAGCAGAAATACAGACTGCTTTGCATTTGAAAAGATTAATTTTAGTTTGAAAAGTGGAAAGAACTTTTGGGCTAGAAAAATGTCTGTGCTTTCCGCTCAGATGGATTTTAAGAAGATTTATTGTGCTCGTGTCTCGGCCTGTAACCATCATCAATAAATCAGTTAATCGTACGGTAACTTTTAACGAGCTCGATAACTTTTCGATAATTTCTGTTTGCTTGCTTGTTTGTATTCCTCATCTCTTTTGCTTGCTCTTTAGTGTAATGACGCTTGAACCAACGTATCAGCATTAGGGACGGGCATTCGATTAAATTTTCTTAATCGATCGTCGGGAGGATTAACGATCGATTATTGATTAATCATTAAAGTTTTTATATTAAAATGATCATCATTATTATGACTATCTGCACTACTAATCTGCATAAATAAATTCAACTTTACGACATATAAACTGTAACCACTCTAGAGCCACATCAGCCCGTTTGACATTATAATGTGTTTAATGCAGATTTGCGCAACTCTCACAGAAACAAAACTTAAAACCACATGGCTCATTTGCATAAACTAAGCGAAGAAAAAAAACAGCTCTTGTGTTGCTGATGCCGTTCAACTTCTGTCAGATTAAAAGACATGACTCAGTGGAATACAGGTTAGTGTGACCATATTTGCATTTTTCAAAACCAGGGCGGCAGTAGCTCAGTTGGTAGAGCATTCACCCACTGATCTGAAGGTTGGCGGTTCGAATCCAGCTCTCGACATAAACATCACAGGTTGAGCGGTCAGATCCACTGACCCACAGGTTGGCTGGTGTGATTCCAGCTCCCACAGATGAATGCTGCCGTTGGGCCCACGCATCGATGAGCACAAGCTACTGTCCTTGGGCAAGACACTTAACCCACCTTGCCCACAGTGTCTGTGTACACTGGTGTATTAATGTGTGTGTGAATGGGTGAGTGGTTCCTTGTTGTAAAGTGCTTTGAGTGCCTTGAAGGTGGAAAAGCGCTATAGAACCATTTACCATTTACACTGTACGGGGGGAGGGAGGTGGGGCCTCGTCATCGACGTTGAGCGACTCTCACCTGGTAAAACTTTTTCCCACTGGACACAGAAACATATGTGCTGCTATGTACACTGTGCACATGGACTCACACTTGTCCCGACCGGAACGGAAAGCGGGAAATTTCTTGGAAGTCGTCGTTAAATATGCATTCAAGCTTCGGCAGGTTGCAGACTGACTGTCTGTGTCTACCGTGATACTGTCTCAGGATTTTACCATGGTATACGGTATTACCGTATTACCAAAACATCAGTGTTTATGTGTGTAACCTTGCGAAACCACAGCCTCACGTCAAAGCGAGAGCGGCTCCACCGGCAGCTGCAGAAGGACGTACACGCACACGAAAACTGCGGTCATTAAGCCTCTCCTAAAGAAGAGCAGTCTTGATGCCACAGT